TTTTTCACCTCGAGAATTTTCTTCCATGAAAAAATTTCCAGCTAATTCTAAACTCGACCAGTTGTCATCAGTTTCATCCTTTGCTTTGTAGCCATAGCATTTGTCTACATTATAGTATTGGGAATTTGGTTATTTTTCACTTAGAGTAAAATTATAGATGGTCTAATGGGCTTCCCAGGTAGCTCTCATGGTAAAGAACTTGCTTGCCGATGCAGCAGAAATATGAAACTCGGGTTCAATTCCTGGGTCAGGAAGATCCCCTGGAGGAGGGCAAGGCAACCCAATCCAGTATTCTTGCCTGGTGAAACCCATGGACAGAGGATCCTGGTGGGCTACAGTCCATGGGGTCGCAAAGAATCAGACATGACTGAAGTGACTTAGCATGCACGCCTGCACATATATGGTCTAATAATGAATCTAAGCGTTTTTTGTTAAGGAAACTTTGTCATATATTCATTTCTAATTCTCTCAGACAGAGCAGGACAGAGAGTGTACAACTCTAAAACTTTTATTTTGACCAAGTGAATACAGATTTCTGTTATTGAAAATGTAGAATTAATCAGTGACTCGTAAAAGGTTTTAATATGGCTGTGTTGCAACATATATTCAAAATTTCAGTCTTTTCAAAATATCTTATCTCTGCTTAGAAGTCTATAATTAGATACTAAAAAGGAACAATACAGAGGAAAATCACATATATTGCTCCCAATTTTTCCATAGTACACCATGAAAGTGAAAGTAAAATTTGCTCAGTCATGTCTGACTCTTTGCAACCCCATGGACTATACAGTCCATGAAATTGTCCAGGTCAGAATACTGGAGTGGGTGAAAGTGAAAGTGAAGTCGCTCAGTGGTGTCCGACTCTTTGCAACCCCGTGGACTGTAGCCTACCAGGCTCCTCCGTCCATGGGATTCTCCAGGCAAGAATACTGGAGTGGGTTACCATTTCCTTCTCTAGGGGATCTTTCCAACCCAGGGATACATTGGAGGCAGACGCTTTAACCTCTGAGCCATCAGGGAAGCCAGTGGAGTGGGTAGCCTTTCCCTTCTCCAGGGGGTCTTCCCAACCCAGGTATCAAACTCAGGTCTCCTGCACTGCAGGTGGATTCTTTGCCAGCTGAGCCACAAAGGAAGCCCATGTTACACCATAAAACAACTAATACTTATAAGAAAGGACAGAAACCCTCCAGAAATAAAAGCCCTGTCCACAAGGTGCGCTCAGTAGTTTCCTTCTTGATCTGCAAATCTAAGTAATACAGCTGGAAGTTCTCCAACTGGCTTTTGTTCTTAATTTTATCTATTTGGCTGCTGTGGGTCTTAGTTGTGACACGTGGTATCTTCAATCTTCCTTGCAACTTGGAAACTCTTAGTTGTGGCATGTGGGATCTAGTTCCCTGATCCAGGTCCCCTGCATTGGGAGAGATGAGTCTTAGCCACCGGACCACCAGGGAAGTCCCTCCGACTGGTTTTAACTGCTGTATAATCTTTAGAGAAAAAGGAATCAGTAAAACTGCATTCACACCAGAAACAACTTTAAAGACCTGAATTAATTTTTGGATTATATATTCAAAGGCCAGCATCTTTTTCAACCAAACATTCATTCTTTCATTTATTTACTTATTGGTGCCCCAGACACATGTTATTGAAAGCATGGCAGCAGGCACTGGAGATAGGAGCAAACTCTTGGTCTACCAGGGTACAGAAATAAATTCTTTTACAGCGCTATTATGTACATATGTATGCATGTACTCTGTCACTCAGTTGGATCTGACTCTTTTTGCAATCTCAAGGACTGTAGCACTCCGGGGGATTTTCCAGGCAAGAATACTGGAGTGGGTTGTCATTTTCTACTCCAGGGCATATTCCCAACCCAGGGATAAATTCTTTTGTAGTACTATTAGTAGCTGTCAAATTTCTACCTATCATTAAAGCTCAGCTCTTCAGTGCATTATCTTCCTATTTGCTTCAGTGAGAATTAGTCATTCCCTCTTCCTGGTCCCAAGGTTACTCTGCTAACAGCCCTTACTGTATTATTATAATTGTATATACAAAGCTCTTTGTTTTTTCAATCTCCCACATTGTAAACTATATAAAGTCTATAGTAAGAATGGAGTACTTGTTATGGTACTAACTTAGTGATAAAGGCCTTATCTTTCGCAAGGAGAATAGTTACCCTCTCCACTGTTGGTGGGCATATAACCTGATAGAGTCTCCTTAGTGGGAAACGACATAGCTTTCAAAACTGTGGATGCACATACATGGATTTAACAAATACAATTCTAGGAGACTATTCTACAGACAAATTCCGAGATATGTAAAATATAAGACTACTCATTGAAGCATTGTTTATAACCGCTTAAACTTGGATAAAAATAGAATATCCACAAAGGGGAATGATTGACTAAGTGGTATAATATGAAATAACTTTAAAAGTATGATGTGAACTAATAGGTCCTGATATTAAAAGATAAGTGACTTCCCAGGTGACTCAGTGGTAAAGAATCCACCTGCCAATGCAGGAGACACAAGAGACGTGGGTTTGATCCCTGAGTCAGGAAAATCCCCTGGAGAAGGAAATGGCAACCCACTCCAGTATTCTTGCCTGGAGAATTCCATTGACACAGGAGTCTGGTGGGCTACAGTCTACGGAGTCGAAAAGAGTCAGACACGCATGACTGAGTGACTGAACACACTCACATACTACTCTTGTTATTAAATAATAACAATGGAAAAAAATGAATATGTAAGTAAAACTCAACTCTTGGCATTTTTCTCGGGTCTTTCTGCCTCAAAAATATTCCATTGAGATTTGGCTGCAAACGAGGGGGGATGTAGATATTACTGTTTGGACAATAAGTTGATTCATATAGACTGAAAGCTTTATTTCACATGTTTATATGTAAAAGGGTAGTGTGAGTGAGAATTCCATTCAAGGTCTACATTAAGGAGAAATCACTGCTCAAGGTCCCTCTTCAGTCTTCTGCACTCCTTCCTGATAAAACTAATTAATCCAGGGAATTAGTTAATCCAATCAATTAATTAACTAATTCAATTTAATTAACTAGACTGCTGCCTGTTTTCTAATGCTTGAATCTCTCACCCACCCACCAGACTCTGACTATGCTACATTTATTTATTTATATATTTTTATATTAATAATAAAGAATGCAAGGAGATCAAACCAATCAATCCTAAAGGAAATCAACCATGAATATTCACTGGAAGGACTGATGCTGAAGGTGAAGCTCCAATACTTTGGCCACCTCATGTGAAGAGCTGATCCACTGGAAAAGATGCTGATGCTGGGAAAGATTGAAGGCAGGAAGGCAGGAGGAGAAGGAGACAACAGAGGGTGAGATGATTGGATGGCATCACTGGCTCAGTGGACATGATTTGAGCAAACCCCGGGAGATAGAGGACAGGGAAGCCTGGCATGCTGCAGTCCATGGCATCTCAGAGGCAGACACAATTTAGGGACTGAACAACAATCAAGAATGACAATTTTATAAATCACAACAATGTAGCTAATACACATAAGAATTTGAAGTTGATATGTGGAGGAAGAATACAGTTCTAATTACCTCAAATTTTCATAGCAAGGTGAATCAGTTCAGTTCAGTTCAGTCACTCAGTCGTGTCTGACTCTTTGCAAGCCCGTGAGCTGCAGCACACCACTCCCTGTCCATCACAGAGCCTACCCAAACTCACGTCCACTGAGTCAGTGATGCTATCCAACCATCTCATCCTCTGTCATCCCCTTCTCCTCTCGTCTTCAATCTTTCCCAGCATCAGGGTCTTTTCAAATGAGTCAGCTCTTCGTATCAGGTGGCCCAAGTATTGGAGTTTCAACTTCAGCATCAGTCCTTCCAATGAACACTCAGGACTGATCTCCTTTAGGATGGACAAGTTGGATCTCCTTGCAGTCCAAGGGACTCTCTAGAGTCTTCTCCAACACCACCATTCAAAAGAATCCATTTTTCGGTGCTCAGCTTTCTTTATAGTCCAACTCTCACATCCATACAAGACTACTGGAAAAATCATAGCCTTGACTAGACAGACATTTGTTGACAAAGTAATGTCTCTGCTTTTTAACATGCTGTCTAGGTTGATCATAACTTCCCTTCCAAGGAGTAAGTGTCTTTTAATTTCATGGCTGCAGTCACCATCTGCAGTGATTTTGGAGCCCCCAAAAATAAAGTCAGCCACTGTTTCCACTGTTTCCCCACCTATTTGCCATGAAGCGATGGGGCCAGATGCCACTATGTGCCACGTAAACATTCTAAACAGCTTGTCACTAGGAATTCCCTGGTGGCTCAGTAGTTAAGACTTGGAGCTTCCACTCCAGGGGTCACAGGTTCGATCCCTGGTTGGGATACTAAGATCTCACATGCCACAGTGCAGTCAAATAAATAAGTAAAATACTTTGTCACCTCTTTTGAGAGAAGTCCCATAATTCTTGAAGAACCTGCCCAGATCTTATTTCTACTTTCCTAGATTGCCCCAGGCTAAATCCACCCCTGTTATTTTCTGCTATTCAGTATTTTACTTCTGCTGCTACTTCTATCATTATAGTCTGGATTGTATTACAGCACTTTTTGTTGTTGTTGTTGTATAGGTGCATATTCACACCAGATTGTGACTCTCTAGAAATAAGAACATAGTTTAATTCCTCTGATTTCAGCATAATACATTCCTTGACACATACTAAGCATATAAGAGGTGTTGGTTGAGATTTATTACATGGGGTTATGAGGGTCATTCCCTCTAGCTACTCCTCATTCACATTCATATGCCACAGGAGCATTTTCTAAAACAAAACAAAAGCAAAACCCTATCAAGTGGGAAGCTCATGTACAAAAGTGCTTTCTCTAACCATACTCTGTACTGCTGAAAACTTCTGAGAACCACGCTCTTCCGCTTTTTAATTTTTCTTATCTGAGACATTCAGAAATGACTGAAACTCTTCCTGTGGAGTCAGATGGTAGTGGAAAGTGTTGGGTTTGGTTTATCATCAGAAAGGAAGAGAGAGAGGAAAGAGGAGGCGCTCATCAAAGTTCCTAACCATACTTCAGGGCTTGACTGTGGTCCAGCGCGGGGACCAGACGGAACAAGTGGGGACCTCCAGACCCGTGCAGAAGCTTTCAGCTATTATCCCGGGTCTTTGGTAAGGAAACCTAGATGCACCTGATGACTTGTGCCCAGCTTGTTCTCTTCATTGTAGATAATGATTTGAAGGTCATTATTTTCTATTTCCCCTTCCTTCCCCAACTGTTATTTTTGTTGCTTTATTCCCATGTCCACCTTTTTCTTTTTCTAACTATTCCACATTCTATTTATCTTTGCTGTTTACATTTCATTCTGGAACTAATATTGAATTTTTACATCATTTTCCCCTCTCTTAAATTGGCTGTTTCTCCTTCTGATCTTTGATTCCAGCTTTTCCCAAGAGTTCCATTTTCCAAATCAGTGATTATCTATTTTTCTTAATATATATGTTTTTCCATTTCATTTCACTTTTTCTCTTTTATTTTTTTTCCGCATTCTTAATTGCTTCTGATTCTGTCACACTGTCATTAGTATTTGATTTCAGTATCTACTTTTCTTTCCCTATTATAGCTGAATTTTAGTTTCAGGATTTTACTTATCTTTTTCATTCTGATTGGTCAATTCAGTATTGAAAATTTAAAAATATATATAGAGAGAGTTACTTTTCAACCAAAACCAATTCAGTATTGAAAACTTAAAAAAATATAGAGAGAAAGGTACTTGTCAACCGAACACTTGAAGAAATATAAAAAGTTACCTTGAACTGAAAGATTTTTAAGATTCTGATTCAGATATATTTTCTTTTAAAAAGTGATATTTAAAGTATAGCTCATGCCAGATCATTCAGTTTCTTTGCATTGGAATTTTTCTCTTTTCAATCTTTATTACTCCCTTATTATGCTTTATTATTGTGCTGCTCTTGATGCCTTTCTCTATTAGCAATACCAAAGGCTTTTCTGTTACGTGATTATTTATAGTAAAAAGAGTTTTGGCCTGATAGTCATTGGACCTAGGATTTGAGAATACTCCTAGTTGTGACTATGTAAAAGCCGCCTAATTTGTTGAGTTTCAGTGTCCAAAACTACAAAATAAAGATAGAAACAAGAAGAAATAATTGCTAACTTTCTTTTCAACCCCTGAATTCTATGACTCTTCCCATCTCTCTATATTTTATGAATTGATGCATGAATATGTGTGCAGAACAGGTGATCAAGGTAGCTGCCATGCACAACAGCAAAGGAAATGAACCTCACAGGACTTGAATATTAGAATAAGCAAGGCTACAGAATAGAGAATAAGAAGCACTTCTTCTTTTTTGTTATTTTGTTTTCTTAGTTATTTTAACTTCTGCTAATCCCTATGATAGCATTAGTCAACTCAGCAAAACAAGTCATATGGTATTCTGGGCTTCTACCAAAGGAAACATAAAATGCTGCTATAGCCGGTAAGAATTGGGAACTGGAAAACCAAAAAAAGGAAGTTAGAAGAGATAGCATCCTTACTGGATTAACCGAATAAGAATTAAAATTTTTAATTTAATAGAAAAAGAAAATAAACCCCAAGTATGAGCATCCATCCATTCAAGTAATCTTTAATCCTTACATCTTACAAAGCATTGTGCTAAATTCTGTGGAGCAAGTATTTGGAAATAAGATTTTTTTTTTTACCATTCTGAAACTTAAGTCTAAAATAATAGACAAGACAGCCATGAAAATAATTGTAATGCAGAACAAAATGCACCATTGCACAGAGGTTTAAACCCCACCATACACACACAAAATTTAGGAGGCTGAAGAACTAAATTATGATTGGGATTATAAGAGAGGTTTCAAGGGAAATATATTTGAGCTTGATCTTGAAGAGTGACTAGGATTTCAACAGACAGGGATTAAGAACGGAGGAAAGAGGAGGTTAAGGTATAGAATATCATTCCAGACAGAAGTAAACAGCAGTCGCCAAGGAATAGAAAATGGCATTGACTTGGAATAATGAGTTGTTCAGGAAAGCTATAAAGTAGGGTATGTTTACGGGAATGTTAAAAATTATAGGAATTTCCCTGGCAGTCCAGTGGTTAAGAATCTGCCTTCCAATGCAGGGTAAGTGGGTTTAATCCCTGGTCATGAAACTAAAATCCCACATACCACAGGACAGTTAAACCCATGAGCCACAACCAGAGAGCCCACGTGATTCAGCAAAGACCCAGCACAACCGAAAAAAAAAGAAAAGAAAGTTAGGGAAGGGTTATGTCACAGAGGCCAAGAGAAAAAGAGTGATAAGAAGCCAGTGTAAAGTAATAGGGATATTGCGGAGGATAAAGATAGAGAAAAAGATGTTTCCATTTGTTCTCTAGAGGTAGTTTTAGCAAAGTGATGGGATAGAAGACTAATTACAAAGGGTTAAGAAGTGACTGGTGAGAACAACAGACCCCAAAACAAGCCAGTATCCTTGAAAAAGAAAAGCTGCTAAATTAAAAGACTTAAGAACTATCTTGATGCAGAGTGTGATCCTTAACTGATACAATTGTTGACAAATCAGCTATAAGGGATATTTTGGGGATAGTGGGAAAAAATGGATTAAGTCTGAATATTCGTCAAGGTAAGTCTTACTGTAAATATGGAGACTGCTAAATGAGAAAAGAGATCAAAGAAAGCAGTTTATATAAAGCAATATGCATTTACACCCATGTTCATAGCAACAGCATCCACAATAGCTAAAATGTGGAAGCAACTCCAATGTCCATCAACGATGAATGGATAAACAAAATGTGGTACACACATACAGTGGAATATTATTGTCTTAAAAAGGGAGAGAATTCTGACACATGCTACAACATGGATGAACCTTGAGGACATTTTGCCAAGTGAAATAAGCCAGTCACAAAACGACAAATGCTTTAGGGTTCCATCTATACAAGGGATCTAGAGCAATCAATCCTAAAAGATGATGCTATTAAAGTGCTGCACTCAATATGCCAGTAAATTTGGAAAACTCAGCAGTGGCCACAGGACTAGAAAAGGTCAGTTTTCATTCCAGTTTAAAACAAGGGCAATGCCAAAGAATGTTCAGGCTACAGCACAATTGCACTCATTTCACATTCTTGCAAGGTAATGCTCAAAATTCTTCAAGCTAGGCTTCAACAGTATGTGAATCGAGAACTTCCAGATGTTCAAGCTGGATTTAGAAAAGGCAGAGGAACCAGAGTTCAAACTGCCAACATCTGTTAGATCACAGAAAAAGCAAGAGAATTCCAGAAAAACATCTACTTTTGCTTAATTGACTATGCCAAAGCCTTTGACTGTATGGATCACAAGAAACTGGAAAATTCTTCAAGAGATGGGACTACCAGACCGCATTACCTGCCTCCTGTATGCAGGTCAAGAAGCAGCAGTTAGAACTGGTCATGGAACAACAGACTGGTTCCAAATTGGGAACGGAGTGTGTCAAGGCTATATATTGTCACCCTGCTTATCTAACTTAAATGCAGAGTACATTATGCAAAACGCTGGGTTGGGTGAAGCACAAGCTGGAATCAGAATTGCTGGGAGAAATATCAATAACCCCAGATATGAAGATGATATCACCCTTATGGCAGAAAACAAAGAGAAACTAAAGCACCTCTTAATGAAAGTGAAAGAGGAGAGTGAAAAAGTTGGCTTAAAACTCAACATTCAAAAAAATGAAGATTATGGCATCCGGTTCCATCGCTTCTTGGCAAATAGATGGGGAAATAATGGAAACAATGACAGACTTTATTTTCTTGGGTTCCAAAATCACTTCAGACAGTGACTGCAGCCATGAAATTAAAAGACTCTTGCTATGACCAACCTAGAGAGCATATAAAAAGCAGAGACATTACTTTGCCAACAAAGGTCCACGTAGTCAAAGCTATGGTTTTTCCAGTAGTCATGTATGGATGTGAAAGTTGGACCATAAAGAAAGCTGAGCACCAAAGAATTGATGCTTTTGAACTGCGGTGTTGGAAAAGACTCTTGAGAATCCCTTGGACTGCAAGGAGATCAAACCAGTCAATCCTAAAGGAAATCAATCCTGTATATTCATTGGAAGGACTGATGCTGAAGCTGAAGCTCCAATACTTTGGCCACCTGATGCAAGGAGCCGATCCACTGGGCTCTGATGCTGTGAAAAATTGAAGGCAGGAGGAGAAGGGGATGACAGGGGATGAGAAGGTTGGATGGCATTACCAACTCAATGGACATGAGTTTGAGCAGGCTCTGGGAGGTGGTGAAGGACAGGGAAGCCTGGTGTGCTGCAGTCCATGGGTTTGCAAAGAGTTGGACAGGACTAAGAGACTGAGCAACCAAGAGTAGTCAAACTCACAGAAACCAAAAGCAGGCTGGTGATTGCCATGGACTTCAGGGAAAGGGAAGTGAGGAGCTGTTTTTTTAAAGATAGAGAATTTCAGCTTTACAAGATGAGAAAGTTCTAGAAATTGACTGTACAATAATGTAAAAAACCCAACACTACTGAGCTGTACCCTTAAAAATGGTTAAGATGGTAAATTTTGTTACATGTGGTGGTTTTGGTTTAGTTGCTCAGTCATGTCTGACTCACTGCAACCCAACTGTAGCCCTCCAAGCTCCTCTGTCCATGGGATTTTCCAGGCAAGAATACTGGAGTGGGTTGCCATTCCCTTCTCCAGGGGAACCTTCCTGACCCAGTGATCAAATTCATATACTCTGCATTGCAGATGGATTCTTTACCAACTGAGCCACTGTATTTCACCACAATTAAAACAATTTAAATACCAGTATACACAGTATAATCTAATTTCATTAAATTTTTCTTAATAAAAAATACACATACATATAGTACACACATATGAATGTGAATAAAGATCCAGAAAAATGTAAATTAAGATACTAAAAGTGTGGGAATTCCCTGGTGGTCCAGTGGATAAGACTTTGCCCTCCCAATGCAGGGGGCCCGGGTTCAATTCCTGGTCAGGGAACTAGATCCCACATGCTGCAACTAAAGATCGCACATGCAACTAAGACCTGAGATAGCCAAATAAATAAAAATATTTTTAAAAAGATATTTAAGAGTAATCACTGACTAGTGGTATATAACATTTTTATTTTCTTATTTTTGCTTGTTTATATTTTTTAATTTTCTTCATGAATGATTTCTGTTTCTGTAATAATCAGGCTATTTTACCCAAGGTATATTCATAAAAAACAAATAAGAAAGCAATGATGGGTGGTAAGGAAATCAAGGGCTTCCCAGGTGGCGTTAGTGGTAAAGAACCCACCTGCCTATGCAGGAGACTTAAGGACATGGGTTTGATTCCTGGGTCGGGAAGATTCCCGGGAGGAGGGCATGACAATCTGGAGTATATGACAATTCCAATATTCTTCAATGGAGAATCCCATGGACAGACAATGCCTGGTGGGCTAACAGTCCACAGGGTCGCAAAGGGTCAGGCACAACGGAAGCGACTTAGCACAGCACATAGTTGATTTACCATGTTGTGTTAATTTCTGCTGTAAAGCAAAGTGACTCGGTTATACACTTACATTTTCTTTTTCATATTCTGTTCCATTATAGTTTATCACAGGATACTGGATACAGTTCTGTGTGCTTTACAGTAGGACCTTGTTGTTTACCTATCCTATATATACTAGTTTGCATCTGCTAATCCCAAACTCTCAATACTCCCCTTTCCCTTGGCAACCACAGTCTGTTCTCTATGTCAGTACAGTAGATTTTAAATTGTCTTTCAGAGTATGTTTTTGAGTAATCCGATGTGAAGTTAAGGAATATAAAATAAACCAGTGTTAGGGTCTTTGTGGCTCTACCTCTTTAAGTTAGAATTCTATGAATATGCTTTTTTTTTTTAGTTTTAATATTTTGGTTTATATTTTTACAGAAGTTTTAGCAATGGAGTCTTTCTCTGCTGAGACCAATTCAACTGACCTACACTCACAGCACTGGGATGAACCCCACGTAATTCTCTCCATGGTCATCCTCAGCATCACTTTTCTACTGGGGTTGCCAGGCAACGGGCTGGTGCTGTGGGTGGCTGGCCTAAAGATGCAACGAACAGTGAACACAGTTTGGTTTCTCCATCTCACCTTGGCTGACTTCATCTGCTGCCTCTCCCTGCCCTTCTCCCTGGTCCACTTGGTTCTCCAAGGACACTGGCCCTACGGCTGGTTCCTATGCAAGCTCATCCCCTCCATCATCATCCTCAACATGTTTGCCAGTGTCTTCTTGCTGACTGCCATTAGTCTGGACCGCTGTCTGTTGGTACTCAGGCCAATCTGGTGCCAGAATCATCGCAACGTGGGAACAGCCTGCACTATCTGTGGTTGTATCTGGGTGGTGGCTTTGGTAATGTGCATACCTGCTTTTATATACCGGGAGACGTTCACTATAGACAACCAGAGTATGTGTGGCTACAACTTTGGTCACCATGGCTCATTAGATTATCTAGACTTCACCTTTAATCTACTGGAAAACGGGTCTTTTGACAACTCCATTGCTGATCCGCCTGGAGAAATGGATGACAGGTTAGATTCCTTCTCGCCACAAACCAAGGATCAGCCTTGGGCAGCCACCACTGGCCTCCCTTCCCAAAAATTTCAAAGAACTTCTAGAGATTCACTCCCTATGGATTCAGCTAGATTATCTGTTCAACAACCACATTATGATCTATTTCAGTCTGCTGATGAAGTCTCAGCTACACTCTCCAGTGACTTTCCCATTGAAGATCACAGAACTCATCCCCTGGAGAACTCGGATTCTTTTCTCCCTGCTGATTTTGAGTTTTTTCCTAATGCCTCCAGGGATTCCTTATACATATCTGAACTATCACAAGGTTTCCAGGATGATTATTTTGGCCAATTTGCATATGATCATCAAGTGCCAACACCCCAGGTAGCCATAACCATCAGTAGGCTAGTGGTGGGTTTCCTGTTGCCCTTTATCATCATGGTGGCCTGTTATAGCCTCATTATTTTCAAAATGCGTCGGAGCCGCTTCACCAAGTCTCGGAGCAAACTCTTGAGAGTCGCTATGGTGGTGGTAGTTGTCTTCCTTGTCTGCTGGGCTCCATACCACATTATTGGAGTCCTCTTATTGTTTACTGACCCAGATGATCCCTTTGGGGAATCTCTGTTGTCCTGGGACCATGTGTCTCTTGCTCTAGCATCTGCCAATAGTTGCTTCAATCCATTCCTCTATGCTCTCCTGGGAAAGGACTTTAGGAGAAAAGCAAGACAGTCCATGCAGGGAATTCTCGAGGCAGCTTTCAGTGAGGACATGACACACTCTACCAGCTGCCCCCAAAACAAAACCTCTTTCGAAAGAAACAGTATCAGTACAGTTGTATGAAAACATGGAGCCACTGACCTAAGCAGAGGTTCTTAGGCAAATGTAACATGTTTCTTAAAAGACAGGAGAGATGGGGAGCAGGGGGGTTCTTGCAGAGACCGTCAAAGAATCCATCTGGAGGTTCTCAAAGTGTGGTCCCAGACTAGTGGCATGAGCATCACCTGGAAAGTTGTCAGAAGTACAAATTCTCCAGCCCCTTCCCCTGCAGGCTGGCTGAATCCGAATCTCTGGGGGTAGGGTCCCAAGAGTGTTTGCACAAGCTCTCTTGTTTCTGATGAAAGCTAAACTTGGGAATCACTGTAAAGATAGTCTATTTCGATCCCCAAAAAAGACACGTGAGATAAATGAGAATGCGGTCTGCTTAAAAATGATGTTTCAAAAAAAATAATAATGTTTCCATTGTCAAATGTTTTATAAATTTCCTTCCAGATTCAATTTCAAACCATTTCTTCTAGTGCTCCCTGAGTGAAAGATGATCTTTTATTCAATGGCTTTGTTGGGGTGATGGCAGTGGTGATGGTTTTAAATGAAAAAAAAAAAAGGGGGGGGTGGCAAAAAGAAAAAATCTAAAAACAAGGAACAGCTCTAAAAGGACTGTTTCTGAATAAAGTTGGTGCAACATGTGAAAAACAAACAAGGAGTTATGAGACTGAGTTGGGAGCAAGTACAATGCCAGATGCCTGCTACTTGGAATATTTCTGGATACAGGACACAGGAATTCTGAGTTGCCTTCGTTACAGCTAAATAAGCATCTATTGTGTAAAGACTACTTAGGGCACCTAAGAACTTTCTCTTGAAATTGTATATGTCACAGTTTGGGCAGATGGCTCCTCTGTTTGTTTGCTCTAACTGCTTATTGATAGAATCATCTATCTTTCGTTCCTTTTCTTAAGTTCCTTAATTCCCTTACTTCTCTCCTGCCTCGAAATCTTCTTCCAGGCTTTTTGCCTCTAATAACCGATACTTTCATAACACACAAATGACTCACTTGCTCTCACTACTCCTCAAGAAACTTATTTCAAACAAAAGGAGAAAGAGTAGAAGATGAGGGAACTATTCTTGAATTCACTGCAAAATAGCTGAGTACCCTCTGGGCTTGTTACCCATCCAACTCCTAAAAACATGATTGTAGGTTTGTATTTTTCACACCAAAATTATCAGATGTATCTGGGTTTTTTTTTAATCTTTATCTTTATCAATGTAATACATGCACACAGTTTTTTAAAGAGAAACCAATGCTCAAGATGAAATCTAAGAGGTTTCTTGCCCCACTCTGGCCAGCTTCTCCTTCCTCCCACTCCCACTACCCAGAGATAACCCTTGAAACCACAAACTGAGATGTTCCTTCTGAAATTTGCCATGATATTTCTAAGTCATGACCTTATGATGCTAGTTTTTGTACACAATAAATTACTTTTTATTTTGGAAGAGGGAGAATTTTTTCTAAACAACTTCATATTTTGTGTTTATGCAGCATCCCAATATTCACTAACCATCATCCTTTAATTTGTTCACAAGCACACATTTTCTTCTACTTTGTTGATCCATTCCAATCACACTTCTTTCATTTTTAAAAAAGCATTCTCCAACCCCATCACCTTCTCATTTTTTTCTGTATATGAAGTTTTATGTATGGATATTAATTATCTATATTTTCAGGTTTGTTTATACTATAACTTAGCCTCATCTGAGTCCAGGGATTTAACCTGAAACATAGAAAATGAGATGTAAAGCACAGATGTAAAACGAATTGCAAAGCACTGTTCCTTGTTAAGTGGTGGAGGGGAGGATCTGGACTACAAATGAGTTATAAAGTGCTATGTGGAAAATTTTCAAATCATTAGGAATGCTCTCACTTGTGCAGTAATGATATCCAAGATGATGTGATTTGTCATGCTACTTTCCAATTTAATCTGCTCATATATTTGATGTGAATAAATGCTTTCTCTCTCCACGGTTCCTTGCAAGGCTCAGAGATTCATGGATCCTTTTAATTGTTTGACACTCAGGATATATTATAATCTCTAAACATACAGCAAATAAAACTCATAGTGGGTAGCTGTAGGCTTGCTGTAATGACGATTAGCTAGGTTCCTGGAAACCCCAACATTCTCATGGGACCCTGGATAGAAGTCTCAAACTCTTAGGGCTAGTGTACAGGATACCAGGGTGACTGATCTTGGCATAATTATCCCAAGTTGGCATACCTGTTCAATAGTTGACATTTCTGGGCTCCTTTTGAGAGTTCTGTTTCCCTTGGAAATGTATTCTGAAGAAATCCCTACAATTGGAATCCTCTCATTTTCAATGTAAAACTCTGGTGTGTACCTGTAAGCTTTGCCTGAAGTCCCAGAGGGGGAGCCAAGTCCTTCTCAAATTGTAGCATTTTTAATCTTTAAAATATCCCAGAATGCAAGCAAGGCAGTTTAGTCCACACATCAAACTTCAAGGCGGGATGGGCTGCCTCTCCCAACAATATTTTGCAATAATTAACAGCATTAAAAGAAAAATGCTAGAGCCATGCTTTTAATCTTCCTTTCTTATCAGTATTACCAAAAACATCAGGGTTCGATCCTGTGGGGGAGCGAGGGGGAGGGGCAGTAGAAAACAAATGATTTCACATTTCCCTTTTCCCTACTCTGGCAAAAAAGAAATTCAAGACCAGCACCTGGAAGATAAAACCACAAACATTCTTTTTGTTTTTTGGTTTTTTTATTAAGAAAGCATGCAAAAAACAACAACAACAACTTGTGAGCCCGTACACCCCCCCTTCCCAGCCTGCGCCAATGCAAAGCATTATGGGTGGTATGAAGGACTCACCACACCAGAAACATGGGGGTTGAAGACAGAAAGGCAGGGACGGGTGGATGGATACCAAAGAATTGATCCTTCTGTCCCTCTCCCCCACGCTCTCCTCTATTTCCTCTTTTGGCAGTGAGCTCCTGCAGTTTTGCACATGTCACCCAAGACAACAACAATGACTAAACTTTCAAGGCTGGCAATGCTGGATCAACAAGAAAAAGGAGTATTCTTTCCCTTTCAGGGAGGGGAGGGGAAACTGAGGCCCAAAGAGAGTTGGGTTTGTCCTGTGCCGTTTAGCGAGGCTGGTTTTAGTGGAGAGGGGGGCTAAAGGCCCCAAAGGCCTAACGGCCCATCTCCAGCCCAAGCCCCAAACTTCAGTGACTGGATGCCCACCAGAGTTCTCATTTTCAGAAGACACAGATAAACTATACAGAGGAGACATATCCACTGTCTGATTTAGTCTACCCTGGCAAATCTTGTGTGGATCTGGGTAGAAGAAGGGTTGAGAAATGTGATGATTTATAAGAGAGGAAATCTTAGGAAGAACAGATGGGAACTGTGTGTAGGAGGCACCCTGACTGGAAGGATAAGGAAGACACGCCTCAGATGGGGACACTGGGCTAAGGCGTGTCACCATCCTGGAAGAGAAATTCTCCTTTCCCCAATGGGAAATCTTATGCCATACTTCAACCCCACAAACTGCCCTCCAACACAACAGGGGGTTCAAGCCACTCACACCCCCACGTCTTACTAAGAACTTCGAAGAAATAAAGTGCTGTTTAGTTAACTGCCCTTTCTTGCCCCCCTGACTTCAGCCTCACTGGACTTATTCAACAAACTCTCAATAGAGAACCCTTTACAAAGAAAGGAAGGGGAGGATGAGGGGGAAAGCAGGAGAGCGGAAAGCATGGGTAAATAAAAGGACAGGAACAAAAACCAGAAATCACAGAGACAGTGGCCTTGTCCATTCCGCACATTTTGTCCTACAACTTTGAGAAAGTGACCATTTGGTAAAATAAAAATGGAAATAAAACTGTTCTTCCTTCTCAGAACTAGAATTCAACAATTAATATCCAATATATGCTAAGTACTTTGCAGCCATAAACCATGGCCACTCCTTGATAAAGGAGGTAAGTTTTCCCTGTACCTTTTCCAGGGGCAGGGGGGGTGGGGGGGGGGGAGATCCTTCCTTGGCCCTCATGGAGCTCTGTTTTTGGTTATTTATTACCCTCTCCCAAGTTCCTTAATCCCTCAAAAAACCTGATTGCAGAAGCTTCAGCCCCAGTGATCTGGATTCCAAGAGAAGCATTTGCCTACGTAGTTAAATAACTGAAATATTCCCTATGCATGTCTATACCAGCTCCCCTTTCCTCTCTCACCCTCTTGTCACCAGTACTGTAGGTTTGATTCTGCTTTGCACCGTGGGAAACAGATTCCAGTCTTGCCTGAGGACATGGTGAGACTAAACGGAATCATGGGTTACTCTTCTTTCTTGAGAATCCCAGAAAACGGGAGAAGAAAATTTGATGGGTGGAACAGTTGGGCAGACAACTGAAGGAGGATGAAATAATATTTGCCAAATGAGATAAGGGCATGAAAGGATAACTAGTAAATGCAAATAAAAGCCACAGTTAATTTCCAGAGAACATGATGTTTAAAAAGACAGAATGGTTCAATAGAAACCCTCTCCAAAAAGCTGACCCTATGCTGAAGGGTTGTCCTCATTTCCACCAGAGAAGCAGCACATCCATGCTAAGTTGCTTCAGTTGTGTCCAACTCTGCAGCCCTATGGACTGTAGCCCACCAGGCTCCTCTGTCCATGTGATTCTCCAGGCAAGAAGACTGGAGTGGGTTGCCATGCCCTCCTCCAGGGGATCTTCCCAGCCCAGGGATGGAACTCACATCTCCTGTCTTGGCGGGCGGGTTCTTTACCACCTCACACCACCTGGGACGCCCTGAAGAGAAGCAGAGTTCTGGCTAGGACTGACTCTATATCCTATAGAGAACAGGCCAGGAATAAGTCAATGGCAGTTTATTTGACAAGAGTGGAAGACACCCAATTTCTGACTGTTTTGTATTCCATCACCCCTCTGCAGCGTTCTACTCTACCCAACCCAGACCTCTTATTCCACTAGGATTTTATCTCCACCACCATCACTCTTACCCTTGATGGGGAATGAGGACCAGCAGAAGTAAGACTGGAGATATAAAGGGACAAGGAAGAGCTCAGAGGACAAAATTAGCACCATTGAGTAAAACCTGCAAATTCATGGCTGCCAAGCAGCATTTTAAATCCCTTCTACTTGATGATGTGGCCTCTTCAGCCCTGGATTGAACTGATATCCACAGAAAACAACATAGGGCTGAAAGGTGGGATTAGCACTGAATTGCCCAAAGAGAAAGGTAAATCAAAGTTTGAGACCTTTCGCTGTGGCTCTCATGGCCTCACCTTCCAGCCAGATGACTTTAAATTAGGCAAGAGGTGGACATGGACCATGGTGTGGGGACAGGAGACTGGAGACAGCATATAACCAATAATAATAATAATAATAATATAATAAGAATAATAATAAAAGAATTAGGAAAAAAAAACCAGAAGGAAGAGGAAGAATGAGGCAGGAAAGAGGGGGTTATCTTCGGCAGCATCTTGCGGTGGCTTCTCTGGCAGAGAAAGAAAAAAAAAAAGGATATATATCTATATACAGGCAAGGGCGGAAGGGTGGGTGGGGGCTGGGCTTCCCCCACTGCCCTATGTCACCACCCAGCCCTGGGCTGATGGCCAGGCTCTCGAATGCACTAGGTAATCAAGTCCCAGTCGAAGTCATCTGGGATCTCCTCACTGGCCCCAGGAGGTGGGACCGGTGGCCGAGGGACCATGTGGTGTGCTGTGGAGAAAGAAAAGGAGATTAAGAGGAGAGGGTATGGGAGGCCTTTCTGTCCATCTCGATGGACGGTGGTCAACCGCAAGCACCACCAGGGGGAAGGTCTAGGGAAACTACCGTCCTTACCAGTTCAGTTATTTTTTTCTGCCCGCCACCACTTCAGTAAGGTCCCAGGAAAGAAACTAGAGTAAACTATGCCATACAGCAATGTAACAGCAGTAAAATGTAACAGCCATTAAAAATAATACTTATGGGGAATGCCCTGGTGGTCCAGGGGTTAGGACTCCTTGTTTTCACTACTTAGGGCCCGGGGTTCGATCCCCGGTCAGGAAACTAAGATCCCACAAGCCATGTAGAATGGCCAAAAAAAAAAATTATATTTTTGAAGACTATATAATAACAACAAAAAACATACAGAATATACTACTTATTTGAAATAGCAATATAGAGATCTGTGTATAAGAAGGAATACATAGACAAAGACCCCCTAAGTTGAAAACACTGTGGTTAGGCGGGATGATAACAGTGGTCTTTCTAAAATGCATTTAAAGGTGAAGGATCTGTTCATTTTGCACTCTTTATGACAATTTAGGGTATCCACGCTGACTCCCACCAACAGAGATAGTTCAACCCCAAACCCCTGACACTAGAGGTCAGGTGACATGGGCACAAAGCAGGTGCATGTATGTAACATGTTCATTTATCTGAGTGCATCTTCCATCCAGATTCTGAAGTGAGGCATACATGTTCTGTTTGTCAATCTTTTGTTCATAATCATGCTTCTACTTTCTTTCATCACCGTAGGCATGGGTTAACTTTAAAGCACATTGATCTTCTCTTGTCTCCCATGACATACACCTCCCTAGCAGGTGGCCCACCCTCAGTCTCAGGAACCAGGAAGGTTCACCCGCTCCGGCAGGTGCAGGCAAAAGGGCTCAGAATGCAGGCTTGAAGCCACAGGAAAGCCAAACTCGCTGGTGCTTAAAACAAGCCTCCTGGCTCTTACCTGGGCGACTGTATCCTGCTGAGTCCTGGGTGGGGAGTGGGTACATTGGTGATGGGCCAGGGTAGAGATGGGGGGCTTGAGGGTGCACGTAAGAGTTCACTGCTGTGAAAGCAAGACAAGAGTTAAGTGAGTGGGACCCCTGTACTCAAGGAAGCAGAGTCCAATAGAGAGGATGATGTACTCCCCATCGCCTTCAGCTCTTCTCCCTTCCCTACTCTGTTCTGTAGCTCCTGTAGGCTACAAGGAAGGCTACAGAAGGCTTTCTGCAGAAGCTCTC